CAGATTTGATCATGAATTCTTGTTATCCTTGAGAAGCTTCATTTAGAAGAAATAATTTTTCCATTTTTTTCTGCTTGGAATAGCAATATATTATTAAGAAAATATTTTCTCATATATAGTTGGCATGATTTTGTTCTTATACTAGTAAATCAGTTTTGAACTGTAACGTAAGATATTTAACAAATTACCATGAGGAGCTTTAGGAGAAGAACAGAAAACAAAATAACCCCAGGTTGCCATCATTAATTTACTTAATCCAATGACACAAAGTTCTGTTCTCCAAAGCACATTTGACCCCAGATTCTCAGCTTGTTTTATCATAGACTTAATACTCCTTTTCTAATGTAGAGAATTACTTTGCATGTTTGGTTAACTTTGATCCAAGTCTGCTGTTTTATCTTGTTTGAATTTAGAATTTATTTTTACTGGCAGTTTTCCTAATGTTTGTAATTCAGGGGAGCCTTAAAGGGCAGAAACAACAATTTTGCTGTTGCTAAAGCATTTTTTGCAGAGTGTATGGATAATCTACCTTTCTACTTTGGGCTAATTATGTGTTAAACTTCTGAAGTTTGATATTGGTATCTTTTGATTTTTTGTTTGAATCGAAGTCTCAACTGTTGCCCAGGCTGGAGTGCAGTAGCACAATCATGGCTACCACAGCCTCAACCTGTTGGGCTCAGGCCATCCTCCCACCTCAGCTTCCTGACTAGCTGGGACTACAGGTGCATGCCACCATGCCCAACTAATGTTTTAATTTTTTTTTGGAGATGAAGTCTCACTCTCTCTCTCAGGCTGGTCTCGAACTCTTGGGCTCAAGCAATCCCCCTACCTCGGCCTCCCAAAATGCTGGAATTACAGGTGGGAACCACAGTGCCCGGTTGAAAGCACTGATTTTGAGATCACCCTAGCCCAGTAGCCTAGCATATTTTTAAATATAAGATCATTATTGTCAGTGTTATCATGACTCCATTCAGAAAAAAAATGAACGAATAAATGAAAAAATGAAGCCTCTTGGTTTTTTTCTGTATTTTTTTCCCTGTCTCTAGCATAAGATGTGACAATGAAGTGGTTTGTTTTTTGAGAACAGAAGCCATATCCTAGGTTGATCTTACTAGGATTATGTTGTATTTTTACTTAGAGCTGGGTAAATTTTGGATTTGTTTCATTTTGGAATGCAGTTATGGTATTGGAATTTTTTAAGTATTAACTCTCCATTCATTCTGCCCATCCTAGACAAATTAATATATTATCACAATTTGTTCCAGTTAAAGTTAAATGATTGTTTTACTTTCATAACTAAATTCTGACCCAATGAAAGAATTTGTTCAAATGCCACTTCTTTAACATCTCAATCAGTGACTACTGGTCAGAGAGTATTTTTTTTGTGTGTTTGATGTTGAATTTCATTTTCAAAAGAAAATGATCCAAGTAGGTAGATTTTAAGATGATAGCTTGTAAAATTTCAGAAATAATGCAGTCTATACTCCCTCAAAAATGTCCATAAATATTAAGTAAAAATTTTTTTTGAAAACTTACTCTTTTTCCTTTGCTACATTTTGTAAAGATTGCCTTAGCTTATAATTTTCTTAATTTGGAGGGATGTGTGGGAGTTTAAGGTGAGCATAATGTCAAGGCATAATAGATTGAAAAAATTCTTCAGTATGAGCAGATGATGCTGCATGAAAAGATTTTTTTAAATCTATGCCTAAAGGATCTTCCAAATAATTACCACTGATATTCAGAGTTGGTACATCTTGCCATTAGGAGGACACTATAGTACTTGTATCTTAGAATTAATTTGTGAACAGATTTTATTTTGTAAGAATAAGTAATTTGAAAAGAAAATCCATAGTTTTGAAAAAGCCTCAGAGTCATATTTTAATATTCCTTAATGAAATAAGGAATTTTACATGCAGATTTGCCTACCTAACACATCTTTTTTAAAGCCTACTTTATTTGCTATTGACATAGTCATTGCAAGCTTCTTGGGATTCCTGTTTGCATGACCTTTTTCTACCCATTTACTTCTACCCTATGTTATGTTTTCATATTTAAAGCATGTCACTTTTAAGTTTATATTTTTAGACTTTTAAAAATCCATTCTGTCAATCTATGTCTTTTAATTGAAGTGTTTAATCCATTTACATTTAATGTAATTGTTGATAAGGTTGGATTTAGGTCTTTTTTACTATTTATTTTTGTTTATCTCATCTCTTTTGTTTCTCTATTCTTTTTCTTTGTTTGAATTGTGCTTTAGAATGCCATTTTAATATTCCTATGATGTTTTATACAAATGTAAAGTTTTACATGATCATTTTAGAAATTACACTATATAATCTTAACTTTCGAAATTACAGTACATAATCTTAACTTCTCAGTTTACTTAAAGTTAAAATTATACTATTTTTTTGCAATGTATAGAAATGTAAAAATGTTGAATACATTTAACCCCTCTCATTTTATGATATAGTTGTATATATATTACATCTACATATACTATAAATCTCACAACACAATTTTTGCTTTGAATGATAATAGTAAAGAAATTAAGAAGAAAAACTAGACTTTAGTTTTTATCTGCATGTTTACCATTTCTGATGGTTTTTATTTTTAAGATCTAAATTCCCATCTGGAGTTACTTCTCTTAAGCCTGAACAGGTTGTTTTAGAATTCCTTGTAGTATGCATCTATTGGTGACAATTTTGCCTTCATTATTAATGACTATTTCATTGGATAAGAAATTCCGATTGACAGTTGTAGAGTCTCTAGATTCTGTGAGGCTCCCCTTCTTAAAAGTATTGCTTTGTTTTAGCAGTCAGTTAACTTTTCTGAACTCAGTTTTGCAATTCTCTTTTCCATAGTGAGCAGTTCCTAAAAATCTCAGTTATTTTTGCCCTAGCTGGACTGTATGGAGTCTGCCCTGCACATGCATAGTTTAGGGGTCAGCCAGAGACTTGGGGCAAAGTTTATGCATATAATTTAGGGACTCCCCCTTAGTGGCTCACTTCTTTTGGGGGAACTAAATAGAGAATCAAGAGATAGAAGCTCTTATACATAGTCAATTGATTTTCAAAGGGGCAAAGGCAATTTAATAGAGAAAAATAATCTTGTCAACAAATGGTGTGGGAGCAGTCAGATAGTCATATGCCAAAGAAAAGAACTTTGAAAAAAATAAGTGAACTTTGATCCATATCTCACTGCAAATACAAAGATTAACTCAAAATGGATCATAGACTTAATTGTAAAACATAAAACTAAATCTAGAAGAAAACAAAGGAGACTATCGTTGTGACCTTGAGCTATTCAAAGATTTATTAGCTAAAGTGGCAAAAACATGATTCATAAAAGAAAAAATTGATAAGTTAGATTTCAAGAGATTAAAAACATCTAAAAAGATAAGCCATGTTCTGGGATAAAATATCTGCAAATCAAGTATCTAGTAAAGCACTTTGTCCAGAATATATTTAAAAACTCTTTTTTTTTTTTTTTTTGAGTT